TATCGGATATCCCTGTCAAAATCCTAGTTCTCTATTAAATTCCGGTTTACTTACAACTAAAATCTACAAATATTAACTCGAATATAACTAAACTGAATTTTCTTGATTACATATGTAAGTATGGTACAAGAATTTAAAAACCTCAATCTTTCCATATAGAAATAATGCATAAACTAGAGATGGTGGCTTGCATTTATCAGGGAGTTGCTTATGATTTGTTTTATATATGTGACGATTAAGCAACGTTACTGATAAGTGCAAGATAGCGCATAAACTGAGTACATTGAAAATAAATTGCTTAAATTATCTATCTCAATAACGATAACAATCTTTTGTATACGACTATTCTATGCATACTGAAACTTAAAATAAACCGTTACTAGATTTAGCTTATCCTCAATGTGTTACGTAAATGATCTTTATTCTATAAAGTGATTGAGGTTTTTAGAACTCATTATGTAAATCACATTCGCATTTAACGTTAAATACATAACTATAATTCAGGTTTACTCTTAGTTACGTATAGAATACGTATATCAAATGTAATATTCATGATCATGTTTTATATTTACTGTTACTAACATAAATGTTTTACTGTTACATATAGATATACGAGTTAAATAGACGCTTTCACAGCCGATCTTGTGATTCTATTGTCTTCTAGAACAAGTTACTCGATTATGACCAGTACCACCACAAATTTTACAATGCAACTTGCGTTTTACCTTTTTTGGTACTTCATTGGCACGTTGTATTCTATCAGTTCCTTTGGGCCGACCCTTACCTTTATGCTTATGAGGATTCATTAACTCTTTTGGATCCAACCCAATTTTATCGGTATTATCTTCACTTTCGCTATTTGAAGCACTATTTGAATCAACATCACTATCGCTATAAGAAGATTGGCAATCTTCTAGATATTTATCAAGAATAGAAATAAAGTTGTAATCATATCTTCGAACAGCTACCATTAAAGCTGCTCTAGCCTTGCCCCATGCTTCTCCATACAGTTTTTGCTCATCAATTGTCTGGCGATTTATGTCCTACATTTCATATACAGCGCCTTGATTTAAAGCATTAAGATAAGGAACTGAACCATTCCAACTCATTATTACTGACTGTTCTAACCCGAATTTTTGTGCAACTAGGAATGATTCTTGTGCTGGATCACTACTAGTATCATTATACCACCGTGACCTTATAAGCTGAATATGGAATGTTGTAGCTTGTGAACACAGCATTACCTGAAAAAAATAACGACAAACAATTCATGGTTACAATGCTCAAAACAAGAGCATAAATGTGTTCTATCATTCAAGAGTATTACAAAATGCTGTGTTTCATTTGATATAACACGTTGAACTCCCTACATTTCTACAACCTTATTCGCATCGATAAGATCAAGCATTGACTTGGCAATAATATCGGTAAAATTTTCACTAAATAAGGCAAAATCATCCAGATTTACCTAAATCATTAGAGTAAGTTACCACATGGGTTACCACTGGTTGTATGTACTTGTGATATTAATTAATATGACAATTAAGCACCATGCGCATGATGCCCATCCCTACGTTATATGACAGAAATTTACTTACGGTAAGAAAGCTTTGCAACTTTTCTTGAACCACTAACGAAACATGGTACTGAAGTGATTGTTTTATTTGATCTTCCAAAATCTTAAGCATTTCTGCGGTTAAATACTTGCGTAGCATTTTACAAACATTAGGAAGAATACTATCAGCCGTCACAACCAAAGCTGCTTTAGGAACTGATGCACAGAATAAGGCGTATTCTGTTTTTTTGTCTTCTTCGAGAACACATATCGTTAATTTTTCCGCAAGGTCTAATATGGTTGTATTGGAATTAAATATTAACCTCTTGATCTTTGCATTATAGCTTTCAATCCGTGAAGTAGATGACATTCCAGCTATAAATAATTTAAGTACAAATGCTTTTGCCCATGATTCCTTATTAGCATAGAGCCGTTGCAAGTAATTAACCACACCTTCATTATTATATTTATCAAGTAGGCATTTCCACCGATATTCGAACATTGCAATAAAGCTATTTCGTTGTACTTCGAAGAAATCTCTAATAAACTCATCATAATTGTCTTTAAGATAATTTTTCAAGTTTAGAGGTATATTTTGCGCAATGTGAAACATGCAATGAAGAGTATTTGTAGTTGGAAATTCATCGTGTATTGCGGCGACTAAGGCAGGGTCTGCATCGGTAAAAATAACCTGTGAAGTAGCCCTATTTGTTGCGTGTTTGATTTGCTGCAAAATCCAGCTATGTGCATCTTTTGTTTCATTATCTGTTAATGCCTAAGCCACAAGTCTAGAAGATAAATGGTTGTCAACCACTAAAAAAAGTGACAACGCCATTTCATAATGATTAGTAGCGCTAGTATTGTCATTCAGAACAACGTCACCAAATTTCAACCACCGTTCAATTTGGTCAGGGGACATATAGAATAATCGGCAAAGGCATTTACTATTAGGATCCCAATCTACTTCAACATACCACCAAGGATCAACTTCTTTTTTACTTAGCAACTCCTTATATAATTGGCTGGCATCATTAGTCTGGTCACGTAATCTTGAACGAAATCGTTGAATTACTTGTCGCAGCACTGGCATATAGACCTTGACAAAATATTTTTTTTCAAGAGCTTTACGGATTTGCTGGGGGCTACAATTCATCTTTGTTACAAAGAATTTAACATCCTCAGTCATCTCCATTGTGAATGTTATATTTTCCTGAAAATTGTAACGTGCTTGGTCAAGGTCATGATTTTTATGTTCATTAATTAATTTTGCAACATATACGAGCTTGTGAGGATTATCTTTCTCTGGACATGACAAATTTATTTGCCATATGCATCCAACACGTTTTGTTGTTGTTTCTTTTCTTTGATCTTTGCTTTTTGTTGCTTCAAGGTGCCCAAAATGTTCACAAACCAACGTACGTCTCTGGACTTCCCCATTTTTCAATTTTTCAATACGATAACACGTGTTCTAAACCCTTCTCTTTTTTCATACTTTTTGATTTCATTCATAGCATGTTCCCAGTTATGAAACATCAAGCCTTCTTGTAATTCATAACGCTGATGGCCTTCAAAATTCTCCATTTCGTTTTTTTCATAGTCGGTTTTATTCGTATCATTTAGCGCATTACTACCAATACTAACATCAACAGCTTGGCTATTATTATACAGTGCATCAAATATATTATCCATGTAATCCCACTCACGGAAAGTTGTATTGTCCCGAAATTCTTTATGGTAAGCACCTCTCGGATTCATTATAAAGTTATTTCCACCTTCAATTTGATTTCCAAAATCAAATTCATTTTGGTTAATTTCATACAGTGCATCCATTTCATTAATCGTATTATTCCATCCAGAAAACATTATATTTCCTTGAACTTTTTCGTGGTAGGAACTTTCAGAACTCGTTATATTATGAAATCCGCCGTTATACAATTCGTCGTTACTAACATCAGTTCTATTCATCACATTCGCTTGGCTTTATGCTGTTGATAATATTAAACCGGCTTGGTTATGAACGATTATATCACTTATTGTTAGTGATAGGGATATAAACCTTATCGCTCTGCTTAATCAATGATTGTGAAATTGAACCAATTTATTAACAACTCTTATTTGATTTGTAGTTCTGGAACAACCGGAAAGCCAAAAGGTATACCTTGGAGGTGGGAATTTTTACCTCGATTGAAGCTTCAATAGCGACTTAAAGAATTTCTGGATGCACGATCAGAACCGATGCACAAACGTAAGTGGTATCAAATATAAGTGTATCAAATGATGTCAAACGTATGTTGTATCAAGCGTAAGTGAAACCAAATGTAACTTGTATTAAGCGTAGTCGAAATCAAATGTAAGCACAAGCGATATAAATGTAAGTTGTATCAGGCGTAAGTGATAACAGGTATAAGAATAACAGTGTCAAGTGTAAGTGATCAGCGAAAGTGATCAAGTGAAAATGGTTACGCGAAAGTGGTCAAGCGAAAGTGATCAAGTGAAAATAGTCACGAAAATTGTCACGCGAAAATAGTTAAACAAAAGCGATAAAACGAAAATTGCAAAGCAAAATTTAGAATTTTTTTATATTCCCTTTTTTTTATTTTTGATAAAATTAATTTATTAAACTTTTTTATTACATCATATATAATAAAGGTTGCATCATAGCGCTATAGCACTACAATGCTATAGCGCTACGATGCTATAGCGCTACAATGCTATAGCGCTATAACAATATTCCCAAAAATTAAATACAAAAAAAAATTAAAAATTAAATACAGTATGAAAAAAAAAATTAAAAATTAAATGCGAAAAAAATTATGATTAAATACGAAAATAAATCAAATACGAAAAAAAATTAATACGAAAAAAATTTAAATATGAAAAAAAATATTAAATACGAAAAAAAATATTAAAAAAATTAAATATGAAAAAAAAAATTAAATCAAATATGAAAAAAAATTAATTTAAATACGCAGTGATTTATTTCGTATAATGAGAATGATCATCCAATAGGGGGAAATTAGTAAATCCTACTCAAAATCTATAAACTCTATAAATTCATGTATTAAATTAAATGCTAATAGTAAAAAAAAATTTAAATGTAATGCAAATTGTGAATGAACTGATTGTTTTCAAGATAAAGAGTAATCCACCGCTGGCAATGCCTTCAAAGGATGTGGTACCAATGCACAAGAAACATCACCCCACCACTTATCACTATTTTCTTTATACCATTCAACTTTTTTAAATGAATTCACATAGAATAGAAGAATAGAACGTTAATAAAAATGAATATTAAAAAGCAAATATAGCTAATAATAAAGCACTCACTTGTTTTTTCTAAGCCTTCTTCCCATCCCATACGAGGTTTCCATCCCAACACTCTCAATTTACGATAATCTACAGCGTAACGTCGATCATTGAATGCACGATCTTGTACGAATTCAATATGGTCATCCTCTTTATAACCAAATTTTCGAATTAATGTCCGAGCAAGCTCAAGATTTGAAATTTCAAAATTAGAGCCAATATTATAAATTTCGCCAACTTGTCCCAAATGTAAAATTATATCTAACGCATCAGCAACATCACCTGCGTATAGATATTTACGAGAATTGGAACCATCACCATGAATATAACTAACATATAATGAATTTTTTTAATTCACAATTAATTAATTGATTAATTAATTTAAATTTTTAATAAAAATGACATTATGTCGTACCATTTTCCACCACGAATTAAGCTACAAATGAATTTTGAACAAATTTTTTCAGGATACTGATATGGACCGTAAATATTATTACTTCTTGTAATAATTATCGGTAGGCCAAATGACTTGTGATAAGCTTTTACAAGACATTCAGCAGCCGCTTTTGTTGCAGAATAAGGATTTGATGGAGCTAATATAGATTCTTCATGACAATCAGGCTGTTTAAAATTAATATAGCTTAATAAATGATTCAATTGAACTATATTCAAATAATTTGTATAGAGTTCCAATCCATTAAGCATTTATCCGGATATCTGAGTGATCTGAATTATCCGATACAGATAAACGGATGACGGATTAACCGGATTATCTTGATTGGAACACTATATTTATATATAGTTTTGATAGACAAAATAATAAATAGTATGATAATAAAAGATATCTTTAATAGAAACAACCTACACTGGTTTTTGCGACTTCACCATAAACTTCATCCGTGCTAACATGAATAAACCTCTTAATTCCATGAACTTTAGCAGCTTCTAACATAACATGAGTTCCCATAACATTATTTTTGGTAAATTCGAATGAATCACCAAAAGAATTGTCCACATGTGTTTGAGCAGCGAGATGAATAATTGTATCAATTTTTTTTTCTCGCAATATAAAAGACATGAAATCTGATGAGGTTACATCACCCTTTTTTAAAAATAAACAACAAATCACATAAATTTTATATCGAAAATGAAAAAGATTTGATAATATATTTAATTACCTTTACGAATTTATAACCTGGAAAACTTTTAATAATTTTTAAATTATTTAAGCTTCCACAATAATCCAATTTATCTACAACTACAATATTGAATTCTGGGTATAGAACAGCAAGTTTTCGAACCAAGAAACTACCACTATTTAAAATTAAAAGTATTATTATATAGCATGAAATAAGCAATTTGATAATAGACTAATAGAAAATGCAACTTACAGGAAACCAGCACCTCCGGTAATCATTATATTTTTAATATTAGGATTAACAGGTTCGACTCTTGTACCGATATCTTCAAGGTCTGCCAAAGGAATCTGATCGATGACCGCTTGCATAGGATGAAGTAAAGGTGGTTTTGAAATTAAAGTAGAGTTGTGAAATAATTTTACCATTTTGTTAATCGGCAATCGGTAATGGTGTAGTTGGCGAATTGGTGTAAATAGTGAAATGGTGATACGGTGAAAGGGTGAACGGCGAAGTGGTGAAAGGGAAATGGTAAATAGAATTAGTGATCAAAAATATTAATACAAATTAACTCTGAGCATTTATTCTAATATATAATACGGTAATACCAGGAATATTTCCGTGAATATTTCCGAATAGATAATAAATAGTTATCAGGCAGGCACTGCCTGATAACTGGTTTATTTGGTCGAGGATTTAAGATCAGACTAAGAAATTGAATTCCGAAGGAATTCAATTTTTTAGGCTGACCTTAAATCCTTGACCAAATAATTAAGTTATAAGGCAGTATCAGCATGCCTGATAACGGATTTATCGGGTAGCTTACTATAATTTTCTGCTCAATGATTTATTATTGGGCAGAAACGATAGTTTAAACTATTTTAAACTATTTTAAACTTTTTTTTCCGATAAATTCGGATATTATGCATTACAAGTTTTCACGTGATTTAATCATACAGTATATTACGCATTTTTTAAAACATTCGAGAACAAAAAGGTGATCATTGGCCAATTAAATCGATTAAATCATTTAGAATTTTAGACGCGATATTGTAATAATTTTCAATTTTTTCAATGAGCTCCGAAGAACCAATTACTTTCGATACAGTAAATATCATTTTATATACGCACTTGATTCTTTTCATGACAAATAGTTTAGTTTCAATATTTATAAAATTTATATTAACTGTTAAAAATAAATTTTAGACAGTCTTGAACAATATTTTCAAAACCGTATGGAAAAAACATAAAACTAAGGGTAAATTATCGAATATATATATATATGTATTTTCAATATCAATTAATTATTGTGATTATGACTTAAAATAGCAAGAAAGGATGCATTACTTCTTTCGGCTGAATATTTGCGACTATTTACCGATGGTATTTATATATATACTCGCGACGTAGTTCTTATTTCTTTAAAATAAGTGTTATTTATATATTTTTTTTAATTTTAATATTTGTTTATTTTTATTATCATCATTCTTTTTTTGGGGTTACATAAATTTTTCCAGAAGCAATAAGTCGTGCGGCGATAGCTGCTAAGAAGGATTATCTCGGAGCGACGTTACCACGACTGGAAGTTCATCATCTAGAAAAGGTTATTACAGATCTAATTCAATTGTGAAAACTGAAAAAAAGAATAATATAATTAGTCAAAATGGCTAATGAAAGACGTGAAAAATTGAATATTTCGAATTGATAATGCGCATATATTTAAAGAATTTAATTCTCTCTTTATTATCCGTTTTGTAGATTGCTCCCCAGCTTACAAGAGACTTCTAGCCATAATTTTTATAGTATTGTTGATCTTTACTTGTTACGTTATCTTCAATCTAGCCGTAAATTTATTGTATTCAAAAATGTTTTTTTTTATTACTGGTATTACTGGTCAATGTTTTGACAAGCACAATTATTTCTAGCAGTGATGGATATAAAATGAAATGATCTAATCAATCATCTTTTAAGTTTGTCTCATGTGGTTATACCGTTTGTTGATAGGATGATGTAACTGACATGTTATTATGTACCCTATTTTTGATACAAGTATAAAAGCACCTAACCAATCTTATTGTGTTTTTTTTCTATCTTCCATGTTACCTTTATAGTGTATACTCGTCAGATTGCGTCAGAGCTTCGCTTATATATAAATAGCTTTACTTTTCATACGTACCTTTATTATATAAGAACAATTTAAGAGCAATTTTTTAAGTTTTAAAAAATTTAAAAAAATGTGGTTTTGCTTTAATAAAGCGTGGTCTTGCTTTAATAAAACATGTCCTTGCTGCTATCGTTACCGCGGCAATTCAATGCAACCGTTTGGCAATTTATATTATGATGATGACGAAGACAATGTAGAGTTCGAGAACCTGTTGATTTATCAGGATCGCTCTTCGTTAGCGAATTTATTATCGGGTACACCATTTTCACGTTCAAATCACCCACCAGCATATGGGAGGGTAAACATGGTTTTACCGAATGAAGATGCTTTATTAGATGACGACGGTGAAAATTTACAAACTCAGGACGCACAATTTCTGCCTGACGAGCAAATTGATAAATTTTCTGAACGGGTAAATATACTTTTGTATTAATGAATTCAAGTAAACAAAGAATGATTCAACGATTTTTGAATAGATTGAAAAAATTCAGTTTGATCGATATACAGTCAAATGCGGGTAGAAACATCATAATGTCTTATATTTCATAATTTATTTTTTTATATTAGGTCACTAGAAGTCATCCTGTAACTGATGCACAATTAGCGGCGGAAGAAGAAGAAGTTCGTCGTCAAGAAGAGGAAGAAGTTAGAAGAAAACGTCAAGCTGCTACACAAGCAGCTCTTGCTAAAGGCTTAATAACACCAGAACAAGCCTCTGCTAATAGTAAAGACATTTTCACTATCGATGATGATGATGATGATGATAGTCAGCAATATACTGACTCATCAAGAACTATGATGCATGATAGTTCTTCGGCTGAATCATCTCAGAACAAAGATTCACAAATTTCCTCTTTAAATAAACCACGTAACCCACATGAACGTCTCTTTGTACAAGATGTAAATATGGAAGATTATGATGACGTAACAGATTTTGAATATTTGTAAGTATTAAGCTTTAGTGATAAAATTTAGAGTTTGGAACCGATTATTTTTCAATGTTTAAATCGACTAAAATCGGGCTTAACACATGGAAATAAAACCGGTTCCAAACTCTTAGATAAGTAGTGTCATCATTTATCGATAGAACTAAGAAGCATGACTTTGAATTATTATATAAAATAAATAAAAATAAATGATAAAAAAAAAAAAATTGCTCAAAAAAAAAAAAAAAAAAATAATGAACAATAAAATACTGACTTATAGGCCGCCCACCAATTCCAAAGATCAAACTGCAATCAACGATCCTCTGACTCGCTCTTCGCCCGACGACACTCAAGAAGGAGCTTAATACGAGACAATGAACAAAAAATGGAAGACTACTCACCATTTTCCGTAAGCATTCTGCGATCCGACGATTACGAAATAGGTCAGGAAGATTATAGTCCAACTGTAGGGGACGAAGAAATTGAGGATCCATTCGCAAATATTTTACCGGACTTTTCGGAGAGGTTGGGTAATTTTCTTAGGTTTGCTACCTCAGGGAAAGAAAATACAGAAAATATATGTCTTACTCGCCAAGATGATGATAGTCATGATGATATCCCTTAAACCATATTTCCCATATTTCAGACAAATTTGCTGGAATATTGAAAAATATTTATAATTTTTTGATTAAAACTAAAAAATATTAATAATATGGATTATATATTTTATATATACCGTAGAATATATTATTTAAAAACATATTCTATTAACTTTATTAAGAAATTTTTTTTTATTTTTATTAATAAGTTTTTAAAATATTAAAAATTTGAAATTTTTAAAAAATTTTTTGTAATGATCTTAAAATTTTCATACCGTATGATTTTGAAAATTAAAATTTTTTACCCCTAGTACATGTTAAAACTTTTACAACTAATTTACAAGAATAAAAATTTTTTTTTTTTTTGTAACTTTTGTTAATAATATTTTGTTAATAATATTTTGTTAATAATATTTTGTTAATATTTTGTTAATAATATTATGTTAATAATAATGCAAAATTAAAATACTAATTTACCAAGAATTGGTAAGCAATTTTTTTAGTTAAATTTTTTTTTTAGCTTATAAGACTTAAAAAAATATAAAATGAAATTACAACAAAATTTGCCTACACAGTATACAGTATTAAGAAATGATGGAATTTTCTCGATTATATATATACAATATAGCCGGTAGACGCTATAATAAATTACCCGGATAACCAGTAACGGTAATTTAATACGTAATACCTGAGTAGAGGTTTTTTTGACGGGTACAATCTAATACAATATATATATATTGTATATATCTATTTTTAATTATATTATACAGTTATAAACATTTATAAACATTTACTTTTTTTGATCTTATACGTATCCACGCACGTACGTACGTACATACGGTCATCAGTCAACTGTTTCCTAAACAATTGATGATATTCATCATTTCTTTATTTCCTTCATGGTTATTATTAATTTTCCTTTTTCATCGTAACATTACACTCTTCAAATATGCCGTAACGGTAATAAATTCTCTCCATTAATCTATAAAATAATTAAAAATATATCTTGTGCATTGTTATATAATTGATCTACGCTAAAATTGCTAACATTAAAAATTTACATCTCTATTTGTTTAATTTCAAAATTAAAAGCATGTAGACAAGTTTGTCGATGATATATTTTTTTATTTCGGTATTCGTGCTTACACTTATGCTTACGGTGAGGGAGAAAAAAAAAAGAAGATATATACATACACACATTATTGAGTTTTAGAAAAAAAGATGTTTAATTTACTAAAATCATACATTATACGTTTTAGATATAGGTAGGAATATGCATATTTTACAGAAAGATATAGGAATTCTTATTTTTTTTTAAAAAATAAATTAAAAAAAAAAATAAAAAATAAAATAAAACAAAAAAAAATAAAAAAAAAAGTAAAAAAATAAATGAAAATATTGATTTTTGCAAAGTTTTTTCTTTGCTCTACTATTATTATTACGATTATTAAAATTATTATTATTAGTTTTAAAACACTAGTCAATGATGAAAAAAAAAATGGAGTAAAAGAAAACAATACAGTGATTAGTAGTAGACCCAAAGTGTTCTTGCCATCTCTGCACATATTTTAACCCCAACTAACCCTATTATTTTCTACTTATACAATTGTTTTTTGCATTAAAACGTTATAATTAAACGTTATAAACGTTATAATAGATAGTGGTAAGATCTAAAACATCCCTCCACACAAAAACATATTGCATTAAGAAAAAGAAAAAAAAAAAAGGAAGAATTCGTCAATTTATATCTGATAGTCCAATGAAAATAATACATTAATCCCACTCCCACTATACTTTCCACCAATATTTGGTTGAGACCAAACCACCTTCACAACATTTCGCCCATATCATCATCTTCATCATCAGTCTCATCTTCGGTTACCCAAATCTCATCATCATATCCAACTTCTCTTAAAATCCCATAACAACCTTCTAATTTTAAAAATTTTAATTCTTTACACCATTTTTTTAATTCATCCAAGCTCAGTTCAGTCACTCCATCACAATTTCTTAAATTTATCCATCTTATTGTCGGACACGTAACAGCTATCTCAGAAAGAGCTTTATCAGTTATATCAGTGAAAGAAAAGTCCAAAGAAGTAAGTGCTTTGCAAGAATGAGCTAAAGCAGTAAACCCTCTATCAGTAAATTTGGGACACTGAGATACTATTAGGGTGGTGAGATGAGAACCTAAACTACTTGCAATATATGTTAAAGTTGAATCTTGAAGTGCAGAACATCGGTTAATATCGAGAAAAGTTAAGTTTGGACAAAGGTCAACTAGTTTGATAATATCTGGGTCAGTGATGGCAGTCCACCGGTGAGGTAAATGTGACAGGTTAACTTCACGGACTAAAGAGCCAGAGCTGTAAGAGATCCGGAGAAATTTGCGAAAACAGTTTATGTCTTTAAATTTAGGACTATAATATATTAGGGGCAGAACAATGGCTCGCCAATGACGACAAACCGTCGATGCATGAGACAAGGACTTTTGGTCATTGCCAAGGAGAGTAAAAATACCGTGAAGTAATTCAGTTGGTAGAAAGTTCATGTGTATTGTCCTTTTTTTATTTTTTTTTATTGAGAGATTTTATAGGAATAAAAATAAAGGAATTTATTCCACACTTTTTTTTTTATTAGGTGTGGAAAATTTAGTTCGGTAAGAAGGAAGGAAAAGGAAAGAAGAAAGGACCAAAAGTGGGAGTAAGAGGCGGGTAGGAGGGGGGGAAAGAATAATAAAGGAAAGTCAAAGAACAATGTAACCAGTTTCGAAACACATCATAAATAAGCCCAAAAACCAAAAAACTACACTGAATAAATAAACAAAACTTTACTAATGTCAAAAAAGTGATCAGATCATTACAGAATTGAGACAGTGATTAGACTTTGATTAGGCTAGACTTGTGATATTATTAGGTTAATATATCCTCTAACATGTTAAACAAGTCGGAATTTCTAAATAGCAACGTTACACTTCGCGTAGATTTCGGGAAATTATCGCATTAAGATGCAAAATGATTTTTTCAGGAAATGATGATTTTTCAAAAACGAACAAACAGCGTTGCATGGCTTCTATAGATTGATCAGATTTGATTGGTGATTGCCTAAAGAGTAAAATCTCGGTTGCCCGAGTTATTCGTCATACATTTCTTTTTTCATACAACCTTCTTAGTCTTTTTGGATTTTTTAGACTTTTAGAATTTCATAGAAAGTATTTATTCAATAAGCGGTGGCTATGTATAACATAACTTTCCATAAACAAAGATGGCTTTTAAAAAAATTTTTTTTTTTTAAACCTATCAATCAATCTTTCTCTTTCCCCTTAGGTAAATAAAATGTCTTTGTAAATTAACCTACAAATTCATCTATGCATCTTTCTATTTATCGAACAATCTCTCCGTTTCGGTTAATGACTTATTTCACAAATTAAATTTTACTTTTCACGTGAAATGCCAAGATTAATATTTTCTTTGAATTCTTTACGTTAAAATTATACCCTCGCTTAATCATACTTTTAATCAATTACCTCCCTGCTCATTTGTTTTAATTATGTGTTACTTACGCAAATTTTTTAAATTTTTTAAATTTTTTAAATTTATGGAATTAATGACGCTCCTCATTTGATAATTCTCTGAGGTATCTGAGGTATCTGTGGCACTAGAGTGCGTCAATACTAGCGCTAAGGTATACTTCTGGTTCAGTATTTTTTACGTACTGGTATCTGGTATCTAATATTATTAACATATTCTTTATACTTCTACGTATCAAGAACGTTAAAAATATTAAACAATTGATATTTTTATCAATTGATATTCATTATTTACAGTACGTTCTTGAGAGAAGGTATGTTGTCTGTATAGCATCATGGGACCAGTCATTCAATAATAGGTGGTCCATGTTATGTTTTTATTTTCTAAATATATATAATAGTGTGCATAAACATTTCTTTTCAAAGCTTGATATAAATAAAAATTTTCTATTATAGTTTTAGCCGAAGGGGATGTAATTAAATAATTCTTGTAGTGTCAAATGAGGTGCATCATTAATATATATATATCCAAAAAATCGCACATATGAATATTAAACAAATTGTCATAGGTACAGAATTATGTCCTCATTTTATTCATTTTATATTTTTGGGTAGTTATGTTGTGCGTCACTGCTAAACAGTTACCGTATATCGGGTATTACCGAAAAAAATTCTGCAAAAAAAATGAGAAAAAAAGATTTTTTTTTTAAACTAATGTGAAAAAAAAATATTTGCATTTTATTAATAAAACATAAACGATAATAAGTTATTCTCAGCAAGATTATACACGAGTGTCTAAATTATTTTTGAAAAAGAAACCGATTTATTTCCTATTCCACATTCTTTTTTTCCACAAATAGCTAGATTAATGTATTTAACTATTAATTAATTAATTTAAGCTAAACTAGTGATTTGAACCGAGAGAAATTTTCTTAATCGGTTAACCGAACCGAATTATCTCATTCAACCGATTACCAACCGGTTAAGATTAATATATATATTAATACTATGTACCTTCGGAAATTCTAGAAGCTTTATTCTAATTTTTGTCGGAACTTTTCGGATCCTACGTCATTTTAACATTTTCTCATACCATATTAATCTCGCCGACCGGTTGTATCGGGTCAACCGATTAAGAATTTCCTCAACCGGTTACCTGAAATTTATTCTGTTCGGGTCGGTTAACCGATTATAGCTCAACCGATTCAAGTCACGCTAAATGTACTTAGAAATCTGTGTAACACAATTGAACATCCAATAATCGATTCAGAATTTAATTCAGCCAATCATCATTCGAGAATTAAGAAATATATACTAGTAGAAATACGGAAATACAGAATGTTCTTTTAAAACCAAACAAACCAAGACAAAATGCATCAAGAGATTTCACCACAGATTGATTTCGATCTCTCTAATGAAACGCCTGAAGAATATGATATAAAACAGCAATCTGTAATCGTGAATCTTTTCGGTGGCAGGAAGCCAGTATGCCTACATTTTCCAACTGCTGTTCGCACAAAGATCTTTGATTTGAAGCAAATTATCTTTAATCGCTTGTTGATTGATCCTGAAGAGCAACAATATTATACTATCGCTGGAAAATGGTTGAGTGATTCTATTCAAGTTTTTGACTCTGACGATGTCGAGTTTGTAACTTTAAATCTTAAACTTCGATTGTTTGGTGGTAAAGGTGGGTTCGGGTCGATGCTCAGGGCACAAGGTGGTAAAATGGCCAGTCAAAAAACTACTAATTTTGAGGCTTGTCGTGACTTAAATGGCAGAAGACTAAGAACTGTCAATGAGGCAAAAAGGTATGTATTCATTGAGGTTGTGATAATTGAACTATTTGTACCCTTGCTAAAAAAAAATTAATTAGTTAGATATTAACTATAATTGTCGACAATTATAGATTGGCTGATCTTCTTGAACAAGAGCCAGAAAGAAAACGTGCTCGTAAAGAAAAATTACTAAAAAAAATTGAAGAAGGAATGGTCGAACAGCCAACAAAGAAAATACGCTTTGATGATACTGAATATCTTAAGGCTAGCGAAGAAATGAAAGAAAAAGTACATGATGCAGTATGTGAAGGTAATTTTGAATTTTTAGTTAACTATAACTCATAGAATCTCGAATCTCTTTTTTTTTGATCCATACTAATTAATCCCTTTATTTGTTTTTTTTTTTTTTATCCAGCTATGTCGAAAAAGTCAAATTCTAATGCTAGTAGTAGTTCTGCTGTCAGTAATTCAAAGGCGCTCTCATTATGGTAAGTATTTCAAAGGATCGTTGTTTTTCATTATTCATAAAATCTAAAATTGTTATAATCTTATTAATTTAGGGATGTCGTTGAAAGTGGATCTGATAGCAGTGAAGATGATGCATCTGATGTTGATAGTGGCGATTAATATTTTAATCCAGATAGACATTCATCTTTTTCTTCTTTAACCCGGATTTATAAAATAGATATTTATTCTGTTATCGGATTTAATTCGGGTTATAGGTTTTATTAGTTTACTACGAAATTTTGATTTAATAAACGAATATACGTAATCGAACATTGTACCACAAATTGTTAATGTAGTCTATATAATCGAGAGAGGTTCTTATTGTCATTTAGTTGTTTCAGGATTAATAAAAAATAGCTGTAAATTTTGGAAAATGTGATTTCTAGTTTACGATTCATATGTTCAATTTTAGAGCCTATGCTTTATTAATACTACAACGAGACACTAAACGACTTGGTTTAGCCAAATCGGTTGTTACACCAAAAAATTTAATAATTTCACAAAGTTGAATCACTAGGGCCAATTGATATAAAAATAAAATAAACACAAGGATTAACATAGAGGAGTTATATTTGAACTATTTTTTAAACTCTAGATTTGTTTTTTTATGTTGTATAATATAGTTGGTGACACGATATACTGTATATATATTTCGTCATTAATTTGGATGATCTAACTACTATTAGACGCGTATTAATGAGCTCTACATAGAGTTCCGTATCTGATTATCCGGATAATCCAAATCGCTCAGATATCCGGACAATCCGATAGGTATTCGAATAATTATCCGGATATCAATAGTAGAGATGCAGTAGAATCGTCCCAATGATAGTCGTCACACTGCCGTAACTTGCCGTAACTTACTATATTACTTGCTATAGTTACGGCAAGTTACAGCAGTGTGACGACTATCATTGGGACGATTCTACTGCATCTCTAATCAATAGTAAAACGGATATCCGAATAAATTCAGATCCGGATATCCGATGGATAAACGAATAATGGATAAGAACAATAGCTACAGCTTCCAATTAACCAAGTTTGGTTGTTAATTTAGTATGAAAAATATTTTAGATGTAAGCACCTGGAATTTACAGTATATATTGTTTATTTAATTCATTATCTCCGATACCAACGTGATTTTCAGTGTTGATTACAGATTAGCTCTCCAACAAAATTACCAATGATCTACTAATGCGCGATTAATCATAAAGTTATCGAAGTTGAGTGATTAACCAATTAAATTTAACTACTGTACCCTTTCAATGAGCCAACAACCACAAAGGAACGCGCCTAAGGTCCATAGGATATTTATTCCTTCTTTACACGATGGAACTCGTTTAGAAGCTCGGGTTGGAGTAAACCGTACTGACGATCAAAATCTCGTTAAAGCCGTTGTTATTTCGCATCCATATGGGCCTTTAGGTCTGTATATATACTTGCCCACCCAAATCCCAAACTCTGGCCACACTAATCTTTAAATAAATGTATGTTCTTATGTTTTACGTAATATATCATTATTATTTTTTTTATAAGTGGCAATTGGTTTGGGATTTGTGCGAGTTTTGCCGGCAAGTATATCTGTGTAGGCTCACTGGAAACTTGTCTCTTGTTTGATCTGCTGATTTTAGCTTTTTTTAAATATTTTTTAGGCGGAAATTTCTATAATAATGTTGTTGTTGCAGTCGAGCAATATTTTCAAGATAAAGGATATTTGACAATTGCGTTTAATTTCAGGTAGTAATTCAATTCCTTTTTTTTTTTTCTTTGTAAATTTATCTAATTTTGTGATTACGCAATTATTAAAGAGGTTCCGGAAAGTCTAAAGGTCGAACAAGTTGGTCTGGTGAACCAGAGTGTGATGATTACAAAACGATGCTGGAATTTTTATCGAAATCCGGTAAAATTGGTGAAAATACCATATTACAGATTCCCAAAATTTCTGATGTCACAATCATAGTAAGTTATTATATTACTTATAATATCTAATTTTTTTTTTAGGGTTGTAATCGGCTTGATTTGCCTATGAAATTATGCCAAAGCTTAAGCCATCATTTTAGCAGCTATAATTTAAGCTATGGCTATTAATGTGGTTAAAATTATGGCTTTAGCTATAATCCAGCTTTATTTTTTAATGACATCAACTATTAGATTAATTTGTATATATAAGGTGGAGAGGGGTAGGGGTATTGCGGCCAAATTTTTTGATATCGAATAATTTGATCCACCAGTCCGGTTTGATTTCACTACCAAAATGGCCGGCTCAGTGAGACAATTCTAACGAGCCCAAAATCGGTAAAATCCAATCACAGGATCCCGAGATTGTTAAAGATTTATTTATAAAAATTCACACTTATCTAATTTTATTAAAAAACGATTTCGGGATCCCGTGACTGGATTTAAATGATTTTGGTTAGAATCGTCTTGTCGAGTTGATGGTAAAATCATCAAAAAACGGACCGGTAGATCGAAAGTTATTCACCATTAAAGATTATCTATTTTTAATAACAAACTTAACCATATTTTGTTTAAATGATGATATCTCGTTCGGGATCGGTGGATTTTACACCATACGACTCGTCTCGATGAGACGAGTCGAATGGTATAAAATTCATCCGATTCTGATCACTGTAACACGAGATATACTGGTGGCCACACTTACCTTATATATATATAATAATTATAATAAATAGAAGTCATATTTAATAAAATAAGTTATTTTAGTATGTGCGTATATAATCGTTGATTTATTTTTTACTCATATAACAGATGATGATAATATATATATGTAATGCTTAAAGCTTTAGCCGTCTTCGAGCTATAATTAAAGCCAGTGACTTCATCTGTGACTGGAGCTATTCTTACTCTGGCATAAACCGTGATTTAAAGCCAAAGCTTGGGTTATAGCTGTTAGTTCAGTTTAGCTTTGTTAGGCTTGGCTTAAATCTATGGCTAAAGCTGGCTTTTTGTAAAGCCAATAACATCCCTAACTTTTTTTAAAAAAATTTTTTTATCCTAAAATTATGAAATTTACTTTTTATAGGGTTACAGTTACGGTTCACTAATGGCATCGTCCCTTTCTTCATCTCAATTCACATTTCCAACCTCATATGTCCTAATAAGTTATCCGCTTTCTGTTACTTGGTTCTTGACATTTTTTCGGACTTCAACGTATTTAAATTACTTACAAACTATCCTTGCTTCAACATCCCATGTATTATTTATATACGGAGATTCTGATCAATTTACGGGGGTAGGAAAATACAAGCTATGGGTTAAAGTCAATAAAGTAGCAGAGAACCCGTTGTGGACTATCAAGGAATTAAAGAGAACTGATCATTTTTATTCTTGGCAAAATATGGAAGACAAATTGATCAAAGCATTGGACGAATGGATAGATAAGTTTTAGCAATGCAATAATCGAATATTTAGAAATTACAATTCTTTAAATGATTTAATATTTTTTTTATGTGTGTATTAATTTTATTTTTTATCAATAAAGAATTAATTATTATAAGATTTTGAAGTGAATATTTTTAGCTAGAACACAAAAAGATGGTTCTTAGGTGAATTACAGAATTATCTAAATATATATTATTGAAAAATATAGACATAGAAGAAACCTGTTCCCGGCACTTTCCGAACACATATGTTACATGATTATTTCCGTGATTGAAACCGCTTTACCTGATAATTAACCCTAACATTACTCACAGTTATAACTCAATCGCTTTTATACGTTTTTTCCAGAAAATTTTCATAATTACAATACCGGGGTGCTACAGGCAGTGCTATACGATGCTAGATTGATTCGCTTCAGTAAAGGTTCAAGTAATATCTGATAGATAATTAATGGACTTGCAGTTAGAGATTTACCGTAAATTCTCGAATATTTCGAATTTTGGCCAGAATTAAGCTTAATTCTGGCCAAAATTCGAAATAACGCCCATGCCCGCTATTTCGAGAATTTACGGTAATAAAATTTGGCCAAAATTATAAACGATCTTCCCCAGCATCGCCACCAATTTTTTTCGATCACGTGATACCGGGCAAAATTTTTTAAGTTCGTTAATGTTAGGGTTAGGGCCTACGACAAGGTTAGGGTTATGAGGTTTTATAGTAAAATTGTTCAAGGAATTTTTTTTGTTAGAGCACGAAAGGTTGTTTCTTATGTAAATTTTCAAGCTATTGACGATTTTTGAAAAAGCGAACGTTTGTTTTGATCTTTCTGATTGTGCTACGTTACACCAAGGTGTGATCCACTATTGGATAATTTTCACGTGATCGAAAAATTTTGTTAGTAATTTGGTGGCGATGCTGGGGAAGTTTTATAAACGTCTGTGATCATGTGATTAGTACCACGTCAAATTTGAAGATAAAAATTATTTTTTTTCAGAATAAAGTTCCTCCTCCGATTGCGTGGCTTGGTCGTTTGTCAAAATGGTAAACATCCATCTTTTTGCACCGTAAAACAGTTCATGTTGAAGATTAGTTTATGATGTAGATAGCTTTATAATTATCGCTAAAAAAAAAAAAATCAATTGATCATATGGATGGAAAAGAAAAAAAAACATTTTAATCATCGGCAAAAAATAGATATACATGAATTTGGAACATAAAAATTAAAAAAAACTCTCTTTCGGATTACTAAAGGTCAACGTTCCAAAGACCAGAAATACCTATTGCAAGGGTAAAAATTGTAGAAAGCATACTCCCCACAAAGTCTCTCAATATAAAAAGGGTAAAGATTCATTATACGCTCAAGGTATGTTGTTCTTTAAATTCTATTTAAGTTATTATTTTTTGTTAGTAAATCGCACCTTATATCTTGCTTAAAATAGGTAAAAGACGTTATGATCGTAAACAATCCGGTTATGGTGGTCAGACCAAACCAGTCTTCCATAAGAAAGGTAATGAAAAAGTTACTAAATTATTCCTTTTTACATCATAATAATAAAACCGTTAATGTATATCATATATGTTTAGCTAAAACTACAAAGAAAATCGTCCTTCGTTTAGAATGTCAGAGTTGTAAGGTATAATATCGCTCTTAATCATTGCCCACTTTAAAGAACTTTTTCATTTGATAATCTCAATCACTTTTTTTATTCTTAGTATAAACACCAAGTCGCGATCAAAAGATGCAAACATTTTGAACTTGGAGGTGACAAAAAGGTAAAACATAGTTATCTCAAATTATTTTATTTCTTTATACTAAATTAAACTTTCTCTTTTTTTCTTTTTTAGACCAAAGGCGCTGCACTTGTTTTTTAATATACCAATTCAAAATACATATAAAACTAATATATCTAAACTAATACATAGATCTTTTACGATCCGTCCTTTGATGAACGTAAATTGTTTATGTATTATTTTTGAATATGTTAAAGTTATAAAATATATCTAAACTAATACATAGATCTTTTACGATCCGTCCTTTGATGAACGTAACTTATTTATGTATTATTTTTGAATATGTTAAAGTTATAATATATACATATTTCTTTTTATAAATGCTATTCTGATGATTACATTTTTTCGCTTGCAATTATATACCAAAATTTATTATAAGATTTGTTAATGAACATTCAAACCAAGTAATTACAATTAGAATTTTCAGGAAATAGTACTAGTTATTATTATTTATGAGCTTAATTAATATTCTAAGAGATTAAGTACAAATTCAAACCTTTCAATTGTCCCAATCCGATTGCAAATGCTGACTATCTACAGAAAATGAACCTTCACAAGACCATTTTCCATCTTCAAAGTTATTGTTCCCGTAGTCATGATACAATTCACTATTATTAGTGTCATCAGCATTCCAATCTGATTCCATTTCATATTCGTCATTTGTGCACCAATCATATTCGTCGTTTTCTTCCTTTGGTGAATCAAGTTTATATTCTACATGTGCGAGTACCTCATCAACGTTTAGTAATGTAAAATCTATGCTGGAATCAAGTATCTCTAACAAATTATTTCTAGTTTTACAAAGTTGTCTAATTCGATGTATATCCCAAATATAGTCAATTTTAACACAGTTTTTTTTAAATCCTTTTTGTTGTTCGAGTTCTTTCACAACCGGATTGCAAAGGAATTTCATGTAGTAATGAATAACTTCAAGAATCTCTGAAATGCTTTTATCAGGCTCATCATAAATCGGAAATACGATTTTATCAATATGATCATAACTTCCGAAAGCCGATAATAAAGGCTTGTCATCTGGACGCAAATCTCGGAATATGGCAATTTGAGTAGCACAGCCTACTGCAGGATCACCGTCTTTTAGTGTTCCAACCCCACTATACTCAACAGAATAATTGTACTTTGCCGCACCTGCGTTACCCCTTAAAACAACGTTCTCTTAAATAAATCATAATATTCTTGATTATATTATTATAATCAACAAACAAATAAAAGTTTCTCACCATTCTTGAAACTCACACCTAGTCCATTCAAATTTATGATCATCAATCCTAAACGTTGCTTCTGGTGTTCCGTACTTTAATTGTGGAAAATATACATTAAATTCCGCATTAGGTGTGGTTACGATCACAATTTTTGGTTTATAAGTTCCAAGAACAACTTCAAAAAATTTATTCAATACTGGTGGATAAACATGTTCTATTCTTATATAAAGGATAAACGAAATAGAGATCAAATAATATTCATAATAATGTAACTAAAAAAGAATTGATATTGTAATACGAATATCTTACACTTCCGAGCACACCAAAGCATCAAATCCTAGTAGCCTTTCGTCGGCACTATCAATACTTCCTAAGATAAGAATCAAACAATTCTTTTTTTCAATAAAAATAGGCATTTTTTTTAAAAAAAATTTTGATCTTCAAGCATACAATCATCCTATCTTCATTTATCACCTTGGTATAGGTCTATTGTCAAAGGAGTTAGCCTTAAATTGTCAGTGTCTTCTTTTCTTGGACGGCAATTTTCCACTGTATATTTCAATGTTTCATAACAGATATCTACACCGGTAAGACGCGTAATTGGTGGTGACTTTTCCCAAGGTTGAACAAGAAAAGAGAGGAGTGAACCCTCTCCGCAACCAAAGTCAACTACCTGATTCCAATTAAATATCAACAAGCGCATATTAATCGATCTTTATCTAAAATAAAATATCGTTCAAGAATTCCCTCATGATAAATTACCGAAGTAACCTTACTCTCTTGTAACACGAGATTAATGGAAATTCGTCTTTGTAGCCATAAAGGAGGGTTAAAATAAATCCAATCGCTATCTTCATTACTTGCCATATTTTAGCCGAATCGAAAGCCACTTCTACACGTCAATGCTGCGATGATAATGATAATGATCTACTTGAAAAAATATGGTTGTACAAATTTTCATGTGAAGGGCTACCTGTTGTAACTGTTGTAACCTATTCGTTCTTTATATAGCGATATAGACGTAGTTTTTTATTTTTCTATTTTTAGATAATGGAAACGGGTAGCATGTTCTCTTTTTCTATTTTTCTAGACAAAGGAGACACAAGGAGATCCATTACATCATATCGTTAGTAATAAAATAGATAGATAGTAGTTTAATAGCTTTAATAATTATTGGTCATTTCTTTGTTTAAAAATAATAGAATTCTTTATCGCCGTGTAACGATTGAATGTACTAATAAATACCCATTCTGGTTAGACGAAACCCTCCCTTTTTTCTTCAGCACTATCTAAATTATACACAAAAATTTTTTAAAAATTGTTACTAGGTGAAGCAGTTTTTTGAGTTTCGTAAATAACAACCAGCGGATTTTTAGAAGTTTGCTGAAATATTGTACAGTAGATTTAAACAACACACACTAATGTCGCTATTAACGATTCCAAATTCTCAGTCTTCGTCATCACGTGCTTCCTCATCCAAAGAGACTTCAGGTGATCTAGGTGACTTCGCACCTCTTTGGTCTTACTTAGAGAACGACAATCAATATATTGATAATACTTTGGGAGATTTCGGGAGGTTATGGGGATTTTTACAAGGGGAAAAAGATAAATGGTGTAATTCTGGTTCGACATCTATTGAGGACATTGACGGTTTTTTGACCTCAAGTGGTCAACCATGCGAAGTAAAACAACCTCCAGTATTACCTCACTCTTCTTCTTCTGAATATTCTTCTGAAGAAGAGATCTTAATCGCTAAGCATAAAGCGAATAAAGCGATCAAAGTAGTACAGCCATCAAAAAAGAAAGTTGAAGGTGTCGTGGTCGTTACCGTAAATAAAGGTAACGAAAAGGTGACGAACAAGAAGAGTAAGAAAGGTAAAAAGTCATTTGAACATAAAGACGGCGTAAAAACGGTAAATTTTATATAATTATCTATTATTACATATTTGCACTATGTAACTACCTCTTTATAATAACATTACTAATTATTATTTTATTTAATAGATTATAAATGATGGCAGCAAAAGAGTACATTTCAATAATATAAATTCATCAAATAATCAAAGAGTACATTTCAATAATGTAAATTCATCAAATAATCAAAAGCAACCAGAACCAGCTTTGCTTGAAAATAATCAGAAAGCGAATGTTAGATTCAATTCAAAAATGACCGTCAAATTTAGTGTACCGATTCCAATTAAGATATCAGATGATCCTATCCATGTTTTTGTTGATAATTCCAACATTCTCGTTGGATTCTTGGCATACTGTCGGAAGCAAAGTTTTTCAAATCGCATTCAAAACTCTCAGGATGTTTTGGAAAAGAAGAAACCCAGGTTAGAATATGATGCGCTCTTTACCATTCTTGAACGTGGGAGAAACGTCGCACGCAGAGTTTTAGTGGCTTCTTCTCCATTATATCAACCACTCGACAAAGCCGCTCAAACCGGTTACGAGGTTTCAGTTCTTAAGCGTGTGAAAAGAAGTATTTTTGATGATGATGTAAACACGCAACAAATAGATCATACCGTTAGTGGCTTTCAGCAACCACCACATTTCGAGATGGAAAAAGAGCAATGTGTTGATGAACTTCTCCATCTCAAGATCTTGGAATCCTTACTCGATTATCACGCTCCCGCCACTTTGGTCCTTGCTAGCGGCGATGGTAAAGATGCAGAATATTTCCAAGGAGGATTCCACAAGTGTATAATTAAAGCTTTGGAACGAGGATGGAGAGTCGAAGTCATTAGTTGGCAACGTCAATTGAGTCAAAACTTTCTCAACAAGAAGTTCTTGAGCAAGTGGCAAGGCCTTTATCATGTCGTCTTTTTGGATTGGTTCGCCAAGGAGTTGGGATGCGACATGTAATAGAGCCCTTAACGGCTAATCTATATAGCATTAATTTGCAAAAAACCCCGAATTTGATTTGTAAAATTTACTGTACATAAATTTTATAGAACGTTATAATTCATTGTTGTAAGCATAAGTAACTTGGACTCTTTTGTAAATTGAAAAACATTTCAATACTACGAGATAGAATTGATAATTAAATATAATCTGAAGTAATTTGTATTAAAAGATCGTTGCTAGTTTAAAATTATTGTATTAAACAAAATATTTAGGTTTAAATTTTAAAATTTTACAGTATATAGTAAATTGAAAAAAAAGTAGTAAGTAAACTAGTATTTATTATCAAATTATTTTAGTTTTAAATAAAAAAGTTAATTTTTAATATTTGTAAGTAGTATTATATTTGGCTTTTTTTTTTTTCTTAATTGTATATAAATTTTTTGTAATATAAAAAATAAAACTAAAAATCTTTTATATTTTTTTAAAAAAATACAGTTAAATTAATTATTAATAATAATATTATTACTTTTATTTTAGAATTAGAATATAAAAAAAATACTATATTTTATAAAAAATTAATATCACTAATATGATTTAATATAGTATAATTGTTAATTAATAGAAATTTTTGAGATATAGTGATTTAGTATAGTAGTCTTGTTGTTACTCTCTCCAAGTGGCAGGTTTAGAGTTTGAATTCCATGAATTTAGAGGCCTGCATTAGGTCCCAAAGCCCGGCCCGGCCCGGCCCAGTTTGTGGGCCAAGCCAGGTTTAACAATTAAATTTTGTAATTGTGAGCTGAGTTAGGTTTAAAATTTTATAATTGCAGGCTGGGCTAGGCTGGGCCAGACCAAATTTAATAATCAATAGGCAATTCACTAGTTACTAGAACAAAAAATTTTTTTTTATATATTAATTTTATTATAAGTGTGAATACACAGCATTTCTATCTAAAACTTTTTTTTATACTGTTATATTAGTATTATATTAGTACTTTACTTTAAAATTTTCTATTACTTATTTGTGTGTAACTACTAAGTGTAGTACAAATATTATTTAACCAATAGAATTCTTAGTATTAGTTTTATTAGTATAGTTTTTATAGTTTTTCATTTAAACTAATAGTTAATAAGTAATTAAGTCTCATTGGCTAGTCCTTTTGGCTAGTCTCTTTGGCTAGTTTTGTTAGTTAGTCTCTTTGACAAGTCTTTTTGACAAGTCTCTTTGACAAGTCTCTTTAACATAATAGTATGATAACATGAACTATAATTAGTAATTATTTAAGATTGTAAAAGGTATATAAACCTGGCTTTTTTATCTAAGACTTGGGAGACTTAGTCTTTTATACTTTTTTCTTTTTATCTAATAAACTGATATTATCTTGTAAAATACTTACTTTATATACATTTTATACTCTGTTATCTTCTTTTATAGTGGAATTATTGTCTTTTATTGTCCTTTTATTTTTAGTTTTTTTATATTTTTTTTCTTTAGTTATTTCTATTAGTTTATATACAACACTTGATATATTTTTCACTTTATTTTTGTTTTTGTTTTTTTATTATATTTTTAGTTCCTTTTAGTGTTTATTACATATTAATCACATTTCTTACCCTCTTGACACTAAGTTAAGTAATATAGTTTACTGCCACCAAAGTCTACTATATTACAATATAAAAGAAGCAGTAGCCTAATTTGATGATGTATAATATGAATACCTAGATTGATGTGAAATAACACTCTAGTATAGCAGCAAGTAGCTTGAGATATAAGTCTTATGACCTGGCAATACCTGTTTGAGATACAGATTAGATCCTTAAAGTAGCTCCTCTAGTGATACCAAACTGGAAGCACTAGAAGCATCCACTTGAAAGATACCAATTTGGAAGTTATACAAAAAATGAATTAAAAGTAATGTAATAAGTAATAAGAGGTAGAAGTTAGTTAGTAGATATTGTACAGTAGTATATAAGCAAGATATATATAATAAATATAGGTTTAAAAACTATGTGGTGATTTAGAAACTGGTTTAATTGCAAGACAGTTTATAAGGAGATAAAATCTCATATAGCAGATCGTACATAGGTACTTAAATTAGTAATTGGGTAAGCTAGTACTATACCTTAATATTAGATAGTTGTAATTGTATCTGTGATATTTGTAACCAAAAAATACTCTTGAGTATAATCTAATAAACAGTATTGGCAAGACTGCTGAATTAAAAAAATATATAATTATTTTATAAATTTTTTTTTAAAAATTAATTTTTTGAATTTTTTAAAACTTTTAATAATATATAATACTACTAGCAATAGATTAGGGTCCCGTAGCCTAGTGGTCTAGGCGTCTAACCCTTTACAGATGGGTCGATGGTTCGATTATAGCTGGTGGTAATTAATTTAATTAATTATCTCTGTAACCTTCGGGAGCTTTCGAATGCAGAACCCTGTGGCAGTAAGACCATATGATGTATATATTTGGCCTATGAAGAATTCTTGGAAGAAGCCCCGAGCCATGGAGAAGACTGGGTACTGTGTGTAATATGGGTCACAGAAGGTTTATTGCAGAAGGCTATGCGTGTGAATCCACAATTGGCAAGATAGCACCAACAACCCTAAGGCAGCATTGGGATCTTGATTGGAAGGACAGCTATATGCGGTATTTTTAGAAGTGGTGAGAGAAGCAGTGAACATAGTAAGAGGCTGTGGTAAGAGGATGGCTTTACCAAATATAGAACACCTCTGGCACAAAAAAACAAGAAAAACCGGCTAAAAGAAACCCCAAAAAGCATGGAAGCAAGCGATCCGGTGGTATGAAAAAAAGACAGGCTAGAGAGTAATAGTCGCACAACCTATATGGAAGTCTATGACGAAATATGGCAAAAGCGCAAGTCTTGAGTCACTGGCTTGTGACAGTAATTAAATAAGATACATAACTCCCATCTTAAAGATCTAGACTTCTATAACACCATACCAATAGGGAGTACTATAAAAGGATTGGTAGCCTAATTTGGTAGTATACAACGTGAATACCTGGATTGACGTGAAATATCATCCTAGTTTGGCAACTTAATTGTTTGAGATACGGCTAGGCCCATAAAGTAACTCCTCTAGAAACACCAAACTGGAAGCACGAAGAGCGCCCACTCAAAGAACACCAATTTGGAAGTAATACAAGTACCGAATTAGAAGTAATGTAATAAGTGATGAGAGATAGAAGTTGGTTGGTGGACATTGTACAGTAGTATATAAGCAGGATATATATGATAAAATAGGTTTGGGAACTATCTGGTGATTTAGTAATTGGTCTGATTGCAGGGCGGTTATTAAAGAGGTAAAATTTTATATAGCAGGTCGCACATAGGTACTAAGTTAGTAACCAGGTAATCCAATATCTTGTAATACATTAGAGTATTGTAATTGTACATGTGATATTTGTAACCAAATACCTTAGCATACTAATAAACGGTATTGGCAAAACTGCCAAATTTAAAAAAAAAATAATAATAATAATAAGTATATATTTAATATTAGCTTATCTATATTAGATAACTTCTTTAACATTACCTTCTTTAAATATTTTATTTTATATTATTATTAATTAATCTTGCTTCTCAAAATTTTAAAAAAGTTTATTATTTAGAAACTCTTTCTGACGATCACTTGAACCATATTTTCCAAAAAACATTTTACTGCAAAAAGAGACTTTACAAGCTAGCACTTGATATACTAGATAATAAGACACTACCTGTCGTTTAGAAGTAGTTCTCATATGCTACTTGCCGACAAGCTTAGAGTTTATCACTCACTGCAAAGTCTCGGCACTTGTTATTTAGAAGTAGTTCTTATACGCTACCTGCCGACAAGAATTCTTTATAAGCCAAATATATACATCATATGGTCTTACCACTATAGGATTCCGCATTCAAAAGCTCCTGAAAGTTACAAAGATAATTAATTAAATTAATTATTACCAGCTATAATTGAACCGTTAACCTCGTCTGTAGAGGGTTAGGCGCCTAGACCACTAGGCTACGGGACCCTAACCCTAATATATACTTACTATTATAAGATACAAATTGAGCTAATAAATATATAATTAAAAATTATAAGAAAATGATTTGCTATGAAAAGTTAAATAATATACTAATAATCTATAAAAAAACCCAAAATTTTGGTATTGTGTTGTGAAGCAGAAGGTGAAATAAACTATCAAAGGTTATATAAACTTGATAAAAAAAAGTTAAACATTTTAAATATAACTAATAATTAAGATTTTAAATAATAATAGTTGTAATAGTCTAATTTGTAAAATAATATTAATAGATTATAATAAAAGTACTAATATTTATTACGTAATATTTTAGAAGGTAGGAGGTTAAGCATGTACTATATTAATATTTTATATTACACAAAGAAATTAGCATAATTAGATTCTTTTTAAATTGGTCAATTATATTGGATCTTATATAAGAAAGAGGAGAAGAGCTCTTATAGTAAATAAATATTATATAATAAATGGTTCTAATCAGTATACTATATTTTCATAAAATAATGCCCAAAGTGTAATTTTAAATTTTATTCTAAATTAAGCAGAATTCAAATTATTATTTTAAATATTTATAAATTATTTTATAAAAATACAGATTATATATAGGTTTTGTCTTAAAATAATAGAGTGATATTTCATATACAACGCATTATAGTTGTTACATGATCACGATATACTACACATGACACTATTAAACCCTTCATGTATAATTTATTTAGTATAGATTTATATATATTTTTCTTTTATTTGATTATTATTATAGAATTATTTATATTATTTTGCTATCTATTTTGTTATAGTACATAAATTGTTATATATAATTTATTATATATATGATTATTATGTATAAATTGTTAGCGTAAAATTATTATATATAATTGAAGCAATAAACAGTATCAAGATAGTACAGAATTAGAATTATAAAAAGAATATAAAACACACTTTTGTAAAAACATACCTTAATAACTATCTAATAAAACACCTATTCATAGTTTTGTGAAATGTTTTGCCAGATATATGAGTTGATTTTTGAAAATATTGTTGATTGTAATGTCTGTTTTGCAATTAATTGTTAAATATTGATAAACTATTTTGGTGTTCTATTTTAATTTTTAGATAAATTCATATCTTTAATATTGCTTCATATTTAATTTCACTATGATTTTTCAATTCCCAAATAAATTCTTGCCTTTTGTATTCAATTTCACTATAATTCTTTAATTTCTAAATATATTTTTATTTTTATTTTTTTTCGGTATTAAGGTGATCTCTTTGGCCAAGGGAGACTTTTTATTAGAAATCAATAATACTGGTTACAACAAAGATACAACTAGTGTCACAGGCTAATCTATGACTTTCATCACAGAATAACCTAACCCGGATAGGGAGTACTGGATCGCTTAGCTATTACCAATTTAAACTGTTTATATTAAAGCAAGTATTTTATATTACTCAAATGCAGTTTTGTTAATTAAGAGTGAAACTAAAACTAATATGAACTCAAACTCTTTTTATTATTACTATCGCTTTGATCCTTATATACATATTTGACTCTAATTATTACATCATATATTAATCATATGACCATTGTCTCTTTAATTGATTACATACTTTATTCGATTGTTCATGCACAACTTAATAATAAACTATCTTGCATTACCTATCAATGCATAACTGATTTTTCTTTTGATCTTACTTTAGTATTTAAACATATTACCAACTATCCATACTTCCGATCGATCATCATATGAGTTACATGTACAAGACTCTGATCGATCAATCACTTTTACCCTTATTTTTCAACATGTTAATCACATACTGTATGTTATCATGATATAAGCTAGAGCCCCAGGAACTTCGTCCTTGGAGTTTCTAACATCTACAAGCTCTATTTTCTAACAATATTTGCACAACCAATTCCCAAATTCGCATAATTTTCCATAACTTCTATATTAACATTCTCTCATGTTCAAATACACTTCTTATTCGGATTTCAAGTAAGCATTCACCTTTTCTATATTTTTTCTTTTTCTTTAAACTTCTCTCCTTATTCTTAATCATTTTATCGATTCTTGTTTTCTCCTACTATCTATATAATCATTTTTCTGCATTTCACTTTTCTATCATTGTTTATCACTACCGCACCTCTATTCGTATTGTTCATATCTTCATTTGTTCTACTAACTATCTCTCTTCTCTAACTCATTTCTTCTTCGTTCTCAACCACTATACACTTCATAATCTTATTACTATCGACATCACCATCATCAATATTATCATTCATATTTCCATCTATGTGTAAATACCAATCAAGCCCCATTGGATTATCTGATTCAGTATTTACTAGCTTATTCAAATCAGCAGGTGATTTATTAACTTCATCTGCATTCGATGACTTATAATCATCATTAAACGTTTTATTAACGTTACTCATGTCTTTAGATTTTAGATAATAAACTAACGCTTTACATTTGTTCTTTTCAATATCATCATAGACTTTCACCTTGCCAGATTCCTTGTTATTCAAATAAACTTCAGCTCTTCTATCTGAGCTAGTATCCCTGAAGTTTTTTTTTTTAGCTGGGTTTTGGCACAAATAGAATGGCTTATACTTTTCCTTTTCATTACCTATTCTACTAGGATCATCCACATCGGAGGATTCTTGATAATGAATAAAAACTTTATATTCATTGCTTCTAACACCTATTTCTGTATTATTACAGTGTTCAAGAACATATTCATTTGAATTATCATCTCTATCAGCTCCAATTCCATAATGATGACAATGATCTTCATCTTTAGTTTCACCAACTTCATTCATATCTTCAGATTTTTGATAATGAATGATCACTTTATGTTTATCCTTTTCAATACCATTTCTATAATGGTAACAATGTCCAACAAACGGTCCATTAACATTACCTATATCAGCAGAATTTTGATAGCAATCAACTGCCTTATGCCGAACCTTATCATCACCAATTCCATGAACAAAAGCCTTTTATTTATCCATTTTATCTCCAATTCTATGATGATGACAATAGTCATCATTATATATTTCATCAAAACTACCTATATTTCTAGATTTTCGACGATGAATAATTGTATTGTGTTTATCCTTTTCAATATCGACACCATGATGATGATGGCCTTCACTAAAAATTCTATTGGCATTGCTTAATTTTGTTGATTTTTGATAATATTTGAATATTGAATTACTACTTTCACTTATTTTTTCCTGATCAAATACTAATCTATTTTCATCTTTCAATTTAGGTTCCCCAAATGATTCTCTACCTTCAGCGTGCTCTGAATCTTCCTCAAGTATTTCTTTTTTGTCTGTATTCACCTTACTTATTTCAACAGCAACATTTTTCGAACTATTCTTTATATCCTTTTTCCTATTTAGATCATTCCTTATAATTTTCTTTTCTTATCATTACAATGTTCTCTACTACTAATATTTTCCTTATCAGCCGACTTTTAACAATATTCCAATGCTTGATCTTCATCACTTCCGACTTCTACCTCATCAAGGCTTTTAGATAAGTTTTCCACTTTCAATTCACTCATATTCATTTTACCTTCTTCATCTCAATCAATATTCACTATATTAACTGTCTTTGCCTTTACACTTTCTACCTTCTCTGCAGAATTATCACAGCCCACATTATCCTATAAATATTCGAATAAATTTATTCCATGATTTGGTGCATCAGGCTTTGGATTTCCATCGGATACCTTATTTCCACTATCACTGACATCCTCCTCTTTATCTGCACCTTCATACTCATACCAGCATAGTAAGTTTATTCTGTGGACTGTATAATTGTTGCGAAGTTACTGATAATATGCCCAGGTTCTCGTGTCATGAGCTAATCTATGACTTTCATCACAGAATAACTTAACCCGGATGGGGAGCACTGAATTGCTTAGCTATTACCAATTTAAACTGTTTATATTAAGACAAGTGTTTTATATTACTCAAATGCAGTTTTGTTAATTAAGAGCGAAACTAAAACTAATATGAACTCAAACTCTCTTTATTATTACTATCGCTTCGATCCTTATATACATATTTGACTCTAATTATTACATCATATATTGATCATATGACCATTGTCTCTTTAATTGATTACATACTTTATTCGATTGTTCATGCACAACTTAATAATAAACTATCTTGTATTACCTATCAATGTATAATTGATTTTTCTCTTGATCTTACTTCGGTATTTCAAACATATTACCAACTATTCATACTTCTGATCGATCATTACGTGAGTCATGTGTACAAGACTCTAATCGATCGATCACTTTTACCCTTAGTTTCCAACATGTTAATCACATACTGTATGTTATCATAACACTAGCTACATATGCACTTTTTGAGTACCTATTTAAGTAGTTTGCCAAAGGTTCTACACTAGCTGCTATACCTATAACCCAACTAGGGGATTACTATTTAAACCTTCTGATCTTCACTATATATACCATTTTATTTTAACCACAGGACTACTACAATTACAGCTCGTCCTTGGTAAATTTCGCATCCTGCCTTAGGACTTCTGTAGATTTATTCTAGGTTTGCACTGACTAATTACCGGCTTGTATTCTTCCATTGAGCGGATACCACAGCTATCCTCGAAGTAAATCTACTAGAGCTTTCCGTACTCCATTCCGGCCAGCCTAGTCATTGCAGTCTTCGAAGGTTCCACTTGTGGTATAGCTTAGTGACCGCTATGCTCTTATAAGGTTTACTGTCTACCCCAATACCCACATTCAGACTTTTTTTTTTCTATTATTCTCTAACCAGTCCATCCCTTACTTCTAACCAGCAACCCGGAAGGTTCGACTTTGACCTGGCTCTAAATGCCTTTAACCTGTCTTATCTTGGTCCATATTTCCATAGCATACATCCTTTTCCTCCAACTTGGAAGTTCTCAGTTCTCCGGCATACCCAGCCTATTTTATCGACCCGTGTCTTATGACCCATGTTTTCCAATTCTCAGTCCGCTAGGGTAGGGCCTCCTGCTACTAGTTTTTCAAGCCAGCGACCTGGTTGGTGTGCACCATATATGTCTGTCAATTTTCAGTTTTTCCAAATTGGCGGTTTGGTTGATGGATCTCCCACTTAAAGATCTTTTGTTGTTCGGTTCATCGGTCTTGATCCTAACTTTCAAATTTGGTTTTTCCTATAGCACCGTCGAAAGTTTCGGTTACCTTCTTACTTGGGGCTTCCAAATGGGTATTGATCATCTCGATTATCTAGATTTTGTATGCCAAAGCTTCTATTCTAGATGGTGTACCAAATAACCGATCGGCGGATAATCATACCGAATATAGGTCTATTTTCAATTTTGTCGTCCCTGGAATTTGAACTCTAGACTTGCCACTTGAAGGGTGACAACTCAACCACTTCACTAAGTTGCCACACCCCTGTATATTTTTATTTTAATTACAAATTACTTTAAATACAATATTATTTAATATTCTATTGACTCTATTAAACCAATATATATAATATACAATTGCAAATCTTCCTTTTCTAATTTCTTGACATCTCTAAACTCACTATAATTAATTCAAAATAATTTACTTCTCATTGTCTAATATTCTCTAAAGTTCAGAATTGATATAATCTTATGATTTATTCATTTTAAAAAAACCTAAAATAATACAGTCAAACCTCCATAAATGCAACCTCCATAAATGTAATATCTCTCTAAATACACATTCTATATTCTGCAAATGCATGTTTACTCAAAAGATTTTCTATATCATACTAACCTCCCTAAATATACGTAGCCAATCAGAATTCAGTATTCAAGTTGTGTTACACAAGTCTGCAGATTAAACATTAAAAGCTGCAATTTGATTGGCTTTCTCTAAATGCAAACCTCCCTAAATGCATGGTTGAAGCTAGTCTGTACATATTGCATTTATCCCTTAAATTGTAACACAGGCAAATTTGCCTGTGTTTTTATTAAAAAGTTTAATTTTTTTAATAAAAACTTA